CTTTCACCTCCTTGGGGGCTTTCTTGGGCGTAGTTTTCTTGGGCGTAGTAGTTTTCTTTGGTGTAGCTTTCTTTGGAGCTGCAATTTCTTTTGGAATTGGGGGAGGTAGTGCCTGATCCTCCTCGTCACTTGTTAAACTGCTGCTGTCGTCCTCGTCGTCGTCTTCCTCTGATGATGAAGGCTCAGGATTGACAGGGATTCCCAACTTGATCAAAACTTTCAATATCCAATCCTCTTTGCTGAGCTTCTTCCACTTGCCGATCTTCAGAGTAATTTGCCGACGGATGGGATCGGCTGGTTCACCAAACACCTCTCTATTCTTCTTGCTGGTGTTCAAAATCAACTGCTGCAAGGGCTTATCTCCAAACTTGTCGATAAATTGTATCCCTCCCACTTGCCTTTGGATCTCTTTTGCCACAACCTTTTGGACTAGGAAAGGTAGCCCCGGCCTACTACTGGTGCTACCACTGCCAACTGATGATCCTGCTGAGGCTCCTCTATTCTTCCTTCCCGATGGGGATTGTACCTTGGATCTAGCTCCTCGCGTTTGCGTCACCATTGTGACAAGCTCTTGTTGCTGAGCTACCCCCGAGCTGTGAACAATGACCAATTGCTGTGCCAGGGCCAAAAAAACTCTCAGCAATCACCAAGCTAGAGTTGTTGGAACATACTTAATAACTATACAAACTCGTCAAGAACCCTACCAAAATGCAAGCTGAGAGTGCTCGGGGCCCAATCAGAACACAATTTTAAAATTCACCTCAGTGCGTCATCGCAAACCAAAGATTTGGACGTCAACCAAGCAAGAAGCTCGCTGGTTGGCTACATAGCCAAATCTGTCTGCACTGGTAGCTAGCTACCTGGAACTGTCTCTAGAGCTAGCTAGTTAGTAGGAGGAGAGCTGGAGACATTCGACAGAAGCCCAATGGCCAGAGGTCGTGGAAGAGGCCGAGGCCGAGGTCGAGGCCGAGGTCGAGGTCGAGGAAGAGGAAGAGACGATGATGAGGAATCAATTCCAGGAGAATTGGAGGTACCAATCGAAGAGATACTGCACTACGCTAAAAGCTAGTGTAAAGATCTTTCGAGTGTTTTGAGTTTGAGAGAATGAAAGTTATGAGAGGATTAGAAAGCTATGAAAACTAATCAACGAGAGAGATCCACAATCAAAGGATCGTAGATCTGAACTCCCGCGGGAGACTGTAGAGTGTGATAGAGTAGGTTGCGGTAGCAATCCTACTCACTCCACGATCCAAAAAACGGAACGCGTGGAAGATTCGTCTAGCATTTATCTAGTAGCGTGGAATCTCTCCACGCCAGCTAAATATCTAGCGCGATGTTTCACCATCGACTAGTTGACTAGCGGTCATGAGAACCCTGTCTCAATGACTATTCACGAAAGACTCATGTCATGAGTCGAACTCAAACCCTATCTAGAATCGAGTCGCGAATAGGGGCTAAGAGCCGTGTATTGCATTCGCCCCCTGACAAGGTCCACGGAAGGCACGACATCAGTCGGACAAGGAACATATGAATTAAAGTGGCGGCCACTTCTCCGGAGATTGGATGTAGACATGTGCGTCGCACGATGGCAATCCTACAAGGGGATCAGGCCTTGTATGGGTGTAAATACCTTATGTTCCAAGTCTGGTAGACTGTGCCGCTATTGGCGGTAGTATGTCGAGCCGTACAGTGCCCTTGTTATTGACTCGGTCTGTGTGGTAAGGACCTTGTGCGTTGGCTGACCGTATTAACGGTTCTGATACTGATGAATCATCATAGTGTCGTTGCATGGTGTTGATGAGGGACACGTGCCGTGTTCTCTTTATCGGTGTTTTTCTGATAAGTCGTTGGCGACGTCCTTAATGTATTTCCGGTTTGCTTTGAAACGAATGTGGTGAAGCTTGCCACGATTGACGCGCGTGACATTGCGAACGAAAGTCCATGTTCATCTACCCGAGAGTCTTCTGCGACCTCTACGCGGGACTCACGTTCTTGTTGTCCATGACGACCGGACGTCATGGATACTGGGTAACACACGTCTGTTTCAGAACGATGGTCTACTCCGGTTGCTGTCTTGGAGCATCGCCCTTGGTAGTTCATTGGTCCAATGAATCTACGAAGTTACTTCCTGTTGGTAGGAAGAGCGATAGCTGGATCGCATCTGTTATCTTGTTAGTTAAGAGTTGGCTTCCTCCTCGAGTAAGTCCAATTGTTAGATACTCAGTTTCTTCCCTACGATGAAGGCCTTCGTAGTGTTGATTTCAATCCCGACTTTCTTGGAGTCTTTCGGGAAGGTCAATCCTACTGGTTACAACGCGATCTGCGATCGACGTCTCGCTTAGGGGGATTGAGTTGATCATCAACGTATAGCACGGACATTTTGCTAAGTCAGAATGCATGCTGCTTTCATATCTTCAGCTTTGGAAGATGTGTCGGACCTATTACATAGGCCCATTGGCAACCTCTGGTACTCGTGCTTCCCCTTCGGGAGTGCAATGGCATAGTGTTGCTTCGAGTGAGGTGAAAGCTCGATGTGGTATTGTCCCGTGTTCAGGTCTAGACTGGTAGCGCACTTGAATCCATCCTGGGTTCAAGAGCATGTCCGGTATTTTTGGTATAGGATAATGCTTCTGCTTGATCCGTTTTTTCGGTTTCCGAAAATCCGAGATGAATCGTGCAGATCTCTCTTCCCTCTTTCTTGGGAATGATAAAGTTGGTGCCGCCCACTTGGAACGATTCACCTTCTTGAGTGCCCCTGTTTCGCAGAGACGTTCAACCTCTTTCTTAAAAGTGTTGGTATGGACCCGTGGTAGGGTGAGCCCTAGTGTAATAGGATTTACGTCGGGACAAGTTCTACTTCGTAGTCGTCATTCGCAACTCTCCCAAAGTATCCTCGACTGGGTCGAAGCACTTGGTTGAAAAGGCATGAGGCAGTTCTTGCTCCTCTTGTTTAACGGATTTCGACTCTGGCATATCTGCCTTAAGCCTATTTGTTCGTATGTCGTATCAAGAATCTTCTTGAGACTATTTGCATTGTCGCTGACAGCTGCAGAATCGGAAATGGAGAAGTTCTCCTTTCTATTGGTGTTGTCTCTTTCGCCGGGAAAATGCATGGTTCCACCCCAATGACATGGTAGTGAAATCAAACTTGATTCTTAGATCGCAGAGAGTGTCTTGACCTATGATCACGTCTTGCGCCCCCAAGTTCTTGGTGACGTGTAAATTCCCACTTGATAATTCTATCTATCTGGAACTCAGGAATCCGGGTGTGCCCTTACACTTCGTGCGGGTCTCAATCCTCATAGAAGCAGTCCGTAATGTTTGGACGCCCCCATGATTCTTCATGAGTAACTCTTAGCATTGTTTGAGCAATTAAAGTTCCGGATGCTCTGTATCCAGTAAGAACAGAGTGTAACGGGTTTTCTTTTCCTTCTTCGCTCGTCTGTTAAATCTAACATAGACGATAGTTTCAAGGTCTCTTGTCGTGCGACGTTGATGAGTTACGATTGGCCATGGACGAAGTTTAACGATGCTGAACAATCGTCAGTGTCTAGTGAGCAGTTACTAGCAATTATCTAATTTTCCGTAGACTTCGTTAGTTGCAAACAATCTTGTTTACTATTAAGAGAGCTATCTCTCTTCACTAAGATATAAAAACGGAACATGGTTCCTTGAATCATCATCCTGGCCTAATCCTCAGACGGAGATCTCTCCATCCATGCCAAATGATTGATGTACATTTAGTCGAATATCCGGCAAGCGCCTTGTCGACAGCGGCAATCTTCTTGTCCATCTATGTTGATGGATCCAACAGAGGAGTCGTCCTCGTTGCCGGAGTTCGTCAGACTTGCGCTTGGCAACATGTTGCATTCGCTTTTCTTCTTTGCGATCAGCCTTGACCGCCTGCGTTGGAAACTTTTTCATGAGGACAGAGAGTTTCTTCTTGGTTGTAGGTCTTGGCGTCGTCAGGACTTGCTTCCAAAGTCTTTGTTCTTTTGTACGTATGGCTCTTGCTTATCGTTGTCAAGCCGAAGACTGAGACTTGGCCTCTGAGCTTCTTCAAAGTCATGCAGTCAGAGTGTTTGTGAGTGTCTGGACTCGTGGTAGTCGCCACCATTTCTCTTCGTCTCTTGGAGAGTTGTCGTTGTTGGCGGAGTAGAACTGTACTTCTTTGCTGTTGTTCTTCTTCGTAGAGCTTGCTTGGCATCACAGCCACTTGTCAAAGATCTTCGAGATTCCATGCGCTACAGAACAAGAGAGTGTTCTCATCACGGCAGCTAGAAAGAATCTGAAGTCTGTTGTCAATCTTCATTCATCCACGAGAGTGGAATTCCATGACAAACAATGTTCAATGGACTTCGAGTCATGGTTAAACGTTTGGTTGGGTCCAAAAAAGGTCGGTGGACGGAGGACAGTTATCGGTGTTCATACCGAACTGAGCGTTGTTTGACATAAGCCCGAGTAGACATATCAGCAGGCTTACGCGATCTTGCGGCACATGAAGCGTTTTCTGCTTTTTCAAGAGCCTTGTAGGACAGACGCTTCGATACAGGCATTTATGCCAAACTTAATGTCAGAGTCGTCCAAAGCAGGCTGAGCTGCTCCGTTCCAGGCAGCCTGGAAACGTGCTTGGAAAGGGCTTCGTCTTTCACCGCCACGTATTTCGCGTGGAGGAATCGCGTTGACTGCAATCTGGCGCAAAGAATTCCAACGTATTTCACGGTGCCTGCACAGCTAGATTGTAACATGCCTTGGCAGAGCTAGTAATCATCCTCGCCGGACGTGGTAGGTTGTCGTTGTGTGGCAGCACCGGTCGTTCAGAATTGTCGGTTCATCTTGCAATGGCAGCCCGACGAAGACCTTCTCCATACTCCAGCCCACTTGATGGCTCTGACGTGGAGTCTCAGATCAACATACTTTTGATGATTTGGACCTTTGAGGTGTACTTGGCGCTGTAAGCATCTGCTGGGGGCCCTAAGTTAGTGTCGGAGTTTTGTGAT